ACGACGCGGAAGACAAGAACAGCTACTATAAGGTAGTTGGTGATAGTCAAACCACTAGCATCAGAAGTGCAGTCGTGCCCTGAACAATTTGATTCCGTCTCAGTTGACGTCCGAGGTTTTTCGGTGGTTGCCTTGCCGACGATTCCACCATTGCAGTAATCCTCTTCATCGCAACATGAGTTGCACACTTCCCCTAGAGAAAGCAGAGCATAGGTTTAACAGGTAGGAAACACCACCTCATTCATAATATGACTACCTCTACAACAAGACCGTCACCAATAACAAATGATCTCTACTGTTATGGCATATCTACTGACAATCTCTGGATGGAAGTCATGTACAATTTTTTTTGGCTCCTACATATGCTTGATAATAGTAATCTATAGGAAGCCTTATTGTGGATGTTGTTCGGAATTACTTGAATTGGTTATTTATTCAGGGGTAGGTACTATGAGCAGTTCTTCAACCGCACAATATACGACTTGAAGCAAGCCATCGAACAATTTGAATTCGTTCATTATTGTAAATTTAAATATTTCACTCACTATTGTCAAAGTCCGTCACGCACCCCGTGGTGCACTTATTTCTATTGATACACATCCTTGTTATACTATAATGTGAACCGTCATCGTTAAGAATTCGTTTTATCTAAGGGAAAAAAAAACACAGTTACAAAACATTGATCTGCGTAGTGTGTAGTATATCGCTGTGTTGCGATAGGTGAAATTCATATATAAATATAAACAGATGTTTAGCCCCGCCTCCCATCCATACGTCAACGTATCATGGAACATTATCTGTGCAGAATAACTGCTATTATAATGCAATATAACCTGGTCAAAAACCCTCGGACTGAAATGGACGTCGAAATCTCGTTGAGGGCGTGAGAAGCACGAGACTTGCTTTTGCCTGTCAAATAGTCTTCCGTAATCACGCCTACGGTTTCGAAACCGTGGTTGCTTGAGAGAACAATGTTCGCGTTGACGGGTGGAAATAGCACACTATTTCTCGCGCAAAAACATTGCTCTCACACTTTCGACGAGATCAAGATCGGCCAGTTGCGTCAAAGGTATGTTGCCAATGACGGCGAGGTCGATCTATTTTCTAGTTAGTGCATTTGGATATAGCAGTCACACTGTTTAATTGTATTCGTCTTAAAGGGC